TACCTTGAATAGGACAAGACGTAGTTGAGTTCATTTGAGGAGGTTTCTCTGTTAATAACGCTACTTTAAATAGATTCTTTGCTTTACATTTTGTATTACCTTTTGTATTAGCTGCTTTAGCTTTAATGCATCTTATAGCTGTTCATGATACAGCTGGAGCAAGTAATCCTTTAGGAGTACCTGGTTATTACGATAGAATGCCTTTTGCTCCATACTTCTTATTCAAAGATTTAGTTACTATATTTATCTTCTTATTTGGTTTAAGCTTATTCGTATTCTTTATGCCTAATGTATTAGGTGATAGTGAAAATTACGTAATGGCTAATCCAATGCAAACTCCAGCTGCTATAGTACCTGAATGATATTTATTACCTTTCTATGCTATATTAAGATCTATACCTAATAAATTATTAGGAGTTGTAGCCATGTTTGCTTCTTTACTAATTATATTAGTATTACCTAAAACAGATTTAGGTTTAACTAAAGGTTTACAATTCAGACCTTTAAGCAAAGTAATGTTCTATATATTCGTTATAAATTTCTTAATATTACAACAATTAGGAGCTAAACACGTTGAAAGTCCATTTATAGAATTTGGACAAATCAGTACAGCTTTATACTTCGCACATTTCTTAGTAATAATGCCTGTTACTAGTATAATAGAAAACACACTTGTTGATTTATATCAAATAAACAATCAAGCGAAATAATTATTAGTTTATACAATAATATTTATTTATATATTAAAAATTATATTGTTAATAATTTAAAATTATAGTAATCATAAATATAATATAAATTTTTATATTTATTACTATAAAAAGATTATGCTGTAAACGGATTTACACTTTGATTGCAAATCAATAGTCTGAGGTTCAATTCCTCCATAATCTTACTACAAATGTAGAACCTTAATTATGAAAACAATTTACTAATACTGAAATTCATAAATAATTTACTATATAAATCATATAGAATATATACAAATATATAATAAAATCAAGATTTTAATTTTTATTATATACATTATATAAAATAAAATAAAATAAATATTTAGTTTAAAGTATTAAGGCGGAGTATAAATAGAATTTTT